CCCCGCGGGTGGGGGGGGGCAGCCCCTGAGCCGGCCTGGCCGAGACCTCCAGGGGCAGGCCTGTGTGGAAGGGGCGCGGCGCCGGCGGCTTTCTGGAGGAGCCAAGGAAAGGAAAGGATTCTTCTTATTTTATTCTTATTTTGGCTGGGGAGGGACTACAACTCCCATCCATCGCACCCTGCGGGCACAAGTGGCTGAGTTTTTCTGGAAACGGTAGGCCAAGAAAGAGAGAGAGAGAATGAGAGAGAGAGAGAGAGAGAAGGGACTTTCCCCATTTCTACTTCTACAAGCAGCTCTCAAGAGAATGCCCCCCCGCCCAGATGGCAAGGGGGCACCTCTGGGCGCGCACACGCGTACCCGCAAACACACTGGGGGAGGCGGGCTGGAGGATTTTTGAAGGAGAAAAGAGTCTGTTAAAGCCAAAGTGGACAATCCTGGAAGATTCGCTAGAAAAAAATGGGGTGGGTGGGGGGTCGGGATAAGGAGGGAAGGAAGGAAATGGGGGGGGGGATTAATTGCTCGTAGTTCTCCCGGCAAGGCAAGCGCTACAAGCCTAGAGAATTGACTAAGCTACTCGGAAGTAAGTCGAAGAAGGCAGGCAGTGTGCATTCATTAGAAGAGAAGAAAAGAGAAGGAATATTCGCCGTATTAACTCTAGCTCACTACACTGGCAAAGTCCCTGATATCCGTTGCTATTAAGAATATTGGATTAAAATGTACCTGATTCCTCAGTAATACTATTGTCTTAAAAATAACATGCATTAAGTTAATTATTGCTTCTATTAGTTCAGTAGGAGAATATTGCCTCAAATAGACTATTATTATCTAAAAGTTTGGCAAAGAAAAAAAGTGACGTAAAATTGTTTTACAAATGAAAATCCATAATAATAATAATAATTTAAAAAAGCATCATCAAATTGGCATAGATTGTAAATACATTTGTTCCTGCATGCAAAAAATCCTGTGTTAGAAAGGATGGCAAGAGCACCCCCCACCCCCCACCCCAACGAAACACAAACCAACCAACCGAAAAGAAAGCGAGAAAGAAAAAAAAAGGAAGGAAGGAAGAAAGAAAGAAAGAAAAAGAAAGGGGGAAAAAAGGTCAAGTCCTTTCCCCACGCGTGGGTTTCCTCATTTCCCCCACCCCCACCCTCAAAAAGTGACGTAGACTTTGGCATAGTAAGGAAGTCTTGGCAACAAACGTACAGATTGGAAGTCAAGAGCGGAGAGCGAGCTCTGTATTCGAAATCAAAAGTGCAACGTAAACCTCTTCAGGGAGGGGCCGCTTCCCCCTAAATAAATAAATAAATAAAACTAAAGTAAGAACGCCTCCAAATTCAAGACACAGTTCTACATTTTCTTTGCTTCTTAAAAAAGGCCATGAAATCAATACATAATAAAACAGAAGCACTTACCAAAATAGAAAACAGAGTTTTTAAATTAAAAGAGAAAGAGAGAGGGAGGGAGGGAGGAAAAACCGCCTTGCAACTCAGAAAAGAGAGTAGTATCCTTCGCCTGACGTAACTCATTAATCATCACCGTCATTCTGCTTAGGAGGCTGATTAATGCTGAGCGGGAGTAGCAAGTGTTCCCGTTGCGTGGTCGGCGTTTTTACCTGTCGAGGTGAACAGACTTTGGGGTCGCGGGTGGCGGAGGTTGGCGCCTCTCTCCTCGCCTTTGCTGTCCGCTCTTGACCCTTTTTGAAAGCCCGAAGGAGGAAGGGCAATGCAGGGGGAGCGCCGAGGCTGGCGTGTCCCGTGGCCCTGGGGAGGGCAGGGGAAGGGGGAGAGAGGAGGGCGAGGGCGAGGACCGGGGCCCTTGCTCGCGGCCAGCGGGCGAGGCGGCTCCTTCCGCGCCGGCGCTCCGTCCTGGGGCGCGCCGTCGGGGGTGGCAGCGGCGGCGGCGGGGG